CCGCATTCAGATCCAGGAAATCAGAGATGGTGGTGGGTCTACGAATGTCAATGATCCAGTGTTTGGCACACTATTCACTAAGACAAGATAGTTCAAAGAAAGCAGTAAACAGAAAAATTGGATATCGATCAACCTGGTCCATGAATCAGACTATGATGAGAAATGACACGGAGCACCGCCCAACTGTCAGGAACTCCAGAATCAATAAAAGCATTACGGGTTGATGAATCAATGAATTAATGGAGTTGAACATAACCCATAACTGTTTAACCGCATTCGGCAAAAGGAATACGATTTGTTACAGACAGTTCATCAAGACTAGACTGCACGTTGACGTGGTCTACTAACTGGTGCGCTTGTGATCCAACAAGCTAAACAGGATGGCTTCTCCCAAATCCAAACTTGTTTGACGGAGAGTTCAATTCATGATCGTAAAATCTGAACCTTGATACCAGTCCTTCTCCTTAAATGCAGTTTACCTTAAAGAGTCCGTTACAGACTTAGGTATGGAGGTGCACCTATGAAGGGGGCTTTGACGAGACCCCTGATTTCGATCTGGGAAAGCGAACAGCTTCCAGCTGCACGGTGCGAATCGTTTATTTAACTGACTTGCGAGAAAGGCGGTAGATACTGTTGAGAAGACTACCGGTGGTGGTGGCCCGGTGGTAACGTCACCAGAAGGAGGACGTGTCTTTGAGTTCCAACACCAACGAGTGTTGTATGGCAGTCCTTTGAGTGGACGACCCCCCTTCCTGAAAATTGTACCATTACGTATTCAATCAAAGGATGTATAACTGAAAAAAGAAAAGAATCAACTCAATTAGAATTGAGTCAAAGCTTCTCGCATTGGTTTCGATTTTGATGAACTACCCTTTGAAATTTATGTTCATAATCCTGTTCATCCAGTCGACCATGCACGCAGGACGGGAGACACGGAGGATCGATCGTGAAGACGATGTCTGTCAATTATTTCAAATCAATAGCACTCATCTAACACACCAATAATCACAAGTAACTGTGAGTTAAATACAAATCTGTCGATTGTCTGCCGCACGAGAACGATGTATACTTGAGAAGAAGGCTAAATTTGGACGAGGTTGATGCATCGAAAATACTTCCGACTCTTGATAAATTCCGGAACATATTTAAATCGTGAATTTATGATTTATACTGCCCATGATCTAACAGGGGCGACTTTTTATACAGTCAACCGCACGAAGCACTGGCATTTCCTGTCATTGAGGGATGCGTCCGAGAATTATTTTCTCTGCATCGATCCTCGAGCACAAACAGTCGAGGCCACCTAACAGTTTACGAGTGTTTTTAGCTCGAGTTCACCACGTAAATTGGTGTTTTCCAGGGTTGCTCTCTCTCTCTCACTCGCCCTACTTTTCTCTTCAAGTGTTATTACACATGACTCTTGAAACGGCCTTGTCCTTGAGGGTATCACTAAACTTACAAGCGGGAGACTATCGGATCTCGTGTAGGTCACACTGCACTGCTAAATGAAGATCCAGGTAAGCTTGACGCTTTTTTGGATAGTTTAAGTGTGGATGTGGTTACGTTTCGGCATGCGTGTGACACATTCAAAGCGTTACATGTTTTTACAGAATTAAGTAGGTGCAGCTTCTAAACGCACTCTCTAACTAGGGAAGCGAAGGATAAAGTAGGCAAATTTTTCTGTTTGGGCGGATATATCTGGCGTACGAATATCAGATGAGGTGCCAGCAAGCACACAAAACGCTTGGTTGATATTTGACAATTTGAGATACCTCTGGTGCGGTAGCGATAGACAGTTGTCCGTCAACAGTTTGAACACTACTGTTTATTCCGCTTTGCATGAATCTGGTGGAGAAAGAGGACAAGTAAAGCGGAGGTTAGGTGCAGTTTTAAATAATCTTAGTCCTTTCATCTCTATCAATTAGGTTGGTTGGGATGTGTCGCGCATATAGCCACATAGAATTCCTCACTGTATGTTGCCTCGCGAAGTTGGTAATGGGTGGAAGAAAGCCAAGACTGATTAAACCGCGACCGTATACGACGATATGAGACCCTTGGTACTGCTTCCGGATTTCTTTTTCCTCTCTATACTCCTTTATCATTGGTTGACCAAATGTGTAGTCGGAAGAGAGCAACCGAAACCGCCGAATATAAGCGAAAAGTTATTGGTTGCGTAAACTCAACCCGGAACTGAAATACACAGAGATCTGTCGTGATGATCTCAACAGTGAAAATGTTTGAAGCTGAATAGGAACTGTGCCAATCTTATTGGAATGTGCGAAAACATTAGATAAAAACGAGAATCTGGAGGACGAAAAATGACACACAAGCATGCATTCGATTAAAAGGATACGAGGGATGAATGCGATTTGGGCGATTGCATGGAAAACAGAACCACACGTGATCCGGAACGGGGCAGTGTAGATGTAAACAAAATGCAATTTTCGGATCAGTTCAATGACCTATTGAGCAAACAAGGAAAAGGTGGTAGGTGGAACAGGAAGAGAGAAAATGAGGCACATGAAAGATACCAACCGGTGTATGAACTTAACAGGGTTAAGAGAGAAAGAGAACAATTCAATGGAATGTGTTCAACAGACAACAGAAATACTTATCCCCCCAGTGGAGAACGCATGAAGCTAGATAGATAGTTGTGAGAAACAGGTGACTGCACATATACCGTGAGTACGAACGGGATATACTAGACATCGGAAAGGCAGCATCANGAACATCATAACCATCAGTGTATATAGAGTTACGATAATTTGAACCATTAAGTGATACGTCTTGAGTGTTTCGGAATAAAAATTTGTCACTCCTACAAATTATATATATTCGCCACAATGACCTTATTTGGAACACCGGGTAATTTTGGATGGACAACTCTTCCAGAGCCAGTCCAGTGAAAAAGTCGCGTTTTTTTGCAGTTATAGCATCTAACCTACCTGCAAACACATCGGATCATAGTATGGGTTCTTCGATGGATTGGCTCTGAAAGAGCTGTTCATTCAAAATTACCCGGTGTTGCGAGTGAGTTTATGACAAAAATATACTTCCTGGGTGCAAGTCTATGAATGAACTGATGAAATTTTACCAGACACGCATGCCTGACGAGCGGTAAGAAACGCGAAACCGTTGGTGTTTCCAAGGGAATTTGTCGAGTCGTTCATATACTACTTATTATNATCTAATGTATTCACACTAAACCAAGACATGGTTTCGCCACCGGTTCGCTCCCGTTCGTTTAGTACAAAACGTGCGAACAGAACATGGAGAGGCAGACGATGGGCAGCCCTATGTGACGTACGACGGAGTGATTTCCTCCTTCAAAGAAAGACTGTCAGTAACCAGCGCATGACGACCGACCTCGTTGGTGCTGACCGGACGCTCCTAATACATTCCAGCTTCGTTGATCGAATACACAAAGTTCATTAGCATCCTAAAACGGAAGTGATCAGGTCTCGAAACCATAAGTCGAAACGATATGAATCGTGGTGATTTACACTGTTCCCTTGAGGGAAATTCGCAGTTGAAGCAGGCTTGCAAAAGCCGATTTGAAGATTCATTTTGGTGAACGCTTCGGTCTTCAGGCAGATGTATCTCCTCTTATCTTCTGTTTATTTTATTATAAACGGTACCGTATTTAGCCAGTTGATGAAGCAACGAAAACGCGCTTGTTTGCTAATTTTCGTTCTCAGCTCAACGCGTGTTGAACTGTTTGTGCATTATCACTTTGAAAGGAAATGGTACCGGTATGTCCCTAAATCAAGTCGGGTGGTTATTGGTCACCACTGTAATACGCTCGGTTTGCATCTGTTGCTTCCAGTTAAAGGAAGTGAACAGACAATGTGAAAACAAGATACAAAAGATACAAAGGAATGGATGGGAAAAATGTTTCTCGTTTTTCCCGAGAGAGAGATCCTGCAGTTTCCGTGATCACTTAGCGGGGAATATGATTGCAAACTGATAGCAGCGGCGTTTCCGTTGTTACTTGTTATCAGAACAGACAGATCTGTGACACGATTCGGGCACAACTGGGATGTGAAATTAGCGTGTTGATCAATGCGGCTAATCTAAAGGGTATACTTTCTTGGTTTAGAAAGAATACCGTTCAACCACATGACTGCAATTAGAGCAGCATCGTCCAGAGGATGTAAAACAATCGGCTTGGGTAAGAAGAAAGCTGTAGAACAATTCTGAGTTCATACAGACAGATTATATAAGCACTTAACAGGTTTGAATGGCTATTGCCCTTTTTTGTAGAACGAATTGAGAATCGACTTAAGAGATCAGATCAAGGGAATTTCAAAAGCATATTTCATTACAACAACGAATTCGATACGGTGAGGGGAACAGACGGTGGCGCGACGTTGCATGCGACACACAGAGGAACTCACTTTGCACACCAAGAAAGAAACGAAAAAATAGTTCAACGGTAATGTCTCTGAGATCTGGTGGAAGTCGAAGGTGAATAGGAGATCTGTGAAGAACAGGGTGATAAATACGCGACTAGGCGCACTAAATCCATTGCGTAGCATTTTCATACTAGTGAGCAAAATGAGCAGGGCGGCGCCGCTATATGTAGGGCGTGAAATCAAAAAGAGAACGGGGTGAGGAGAAAAATATACAGTAAATTGATAAAAACCAGCAATTGAATGAGTTGTCAGTTAGCATTTGAATTGGGTGAACCAGCAACTGTTTTGACGAGATAAAGAATATCCAACGAGACTTGGAATAAACATGCTAACACAAAAAACCAGGTGAACTGCCAGTATTCCATTCAACTTCAAATGTGGACAAGATGATGATGATTACCTGATTTTCCAGAGCCGGCAAGCGTATATGAGCGAAAAATAAGCAGTTTCTGTGCATTCACCCATACCAATGAAATGGCGAACGAGATATTATTTATTATTATTATTATTGTTATTACATTTCACAAGGTCATACAATGAGTAAGAGATATAAAGCACACTTTTATGAGGGGGTGTAACTTTCGTATGGGAAGTTCTGCAGAGTTCGAGGATAATGTGAATGAGAGTGGGGGATTTGCTCAATGGGATTTCGCGTGGAACTTGTGGTTAATCAAAATCCAATCCGTCAGACAGCACATCCCAGATGCCAGTTGTAATAATATGATTCTCAATAAACAAGGTGGTTCAGATGCCAATTGGACGGTGAGAGATCTGTCTTCTTATGTTTTTAGCATAAATTTTACTTGTACGTTCATCATCGATAGGGATATCGATTTTGATATTCCAGTTGAAACGACTACTGCTTCTGGATCTTCTCAACCGGTAGAAAACTCAACTGTCAGTCCCATAAAATTTGGACAAAATTTTACGGACTGTGACGCTAAACAAAATAGGACAGTAGAGCAAACACCATGTATGCTGAGGTCCAAATAGAATGTTTGGAAACTTTTACCGAAGGTACAAACCCTAAATTAGGTGTATGTACAGTAGAATTTCAGTATACAGATACAATGGAACAAATATGAACGTTCATCATGAATACTAATAATAATTCCTATGGGATGAGGAAGATGTACGTTAGTCCACAGTTGTCAAACTACTTCCTAATTAAGAGGGTCACTTGTACAATAACACAACATCACTTGGACGTTGTGCTTTGGTACCTTTCGAAATATCACTGGAAATGTACCACTGAATTAATCTTTGGTCGTTTCATCGGGTTCGGTGGTCGGCATACATACTGGAAGCGTGGGGATATTGAGTAAATAACCTTTGATTATGTAATCGAACTACAAACTCTGAGTTGATCGGATGATCGCAGAAAGAAGCTTCTTTAGCTGTTCTTTCAGCCGAAAAACTTTCTTTGTATTATCCAGGATTGTCTAGGAATCCGAATTGATAAAACCGTTAGGATGTCTGTCCGGGCCGGGTACGGAAATTAAGTGGGACTTGCCGTTGAGCGTTTGATCCATGGAAATAACGGTTTCGATTGGTAACACAATCAACTCTTTTGAAATAAACGCGAGTGATAATCAAATCCAAAGTGGTGAAGTTACAGGACCTTTGGCAAGCAGTCCGATGCACAACCTGTTACGTTCACATGTGGACATATCTTCACACGCCTGAGTTCAAGCGGTGTGCCAAACAAATTACAGTACGATAATGCTTATAACAAGAAAAAATCCATGATTTCCTAGTAGGCACGATAGTGCCAGCCTGCCCCGACAAAACACCTCAAAAAGTCAATCAACTGTAGGAAGTAAAACATAATACTCACTTCGGACCGAATTTACTGACCAAACTAGGCACAGATTGAGTAACAGTGAGCACGGTTAAAAGAGGGATGAGTAGATTCCGTTCGACCCAACAGAACCAATAATAACCGGTTTCCCATCGAATTAATTCACCGTAAGCATGGGGTGCGACCGGAGGACGTGCCAGACACAACCAAGGGTACGACTTTGATGGAGATATCCGATTACAGTGAGTCAACGGGACAGAAGAAAGACAATAAGTGCACAATTTATGAAAGAATAGGTCACAGTCAACGTTTTATTATGGGCATTACTTACAAGCACATTCTTTACTTGTCCCAGAGGGTGTTTACGCGAAATGAACTGTAACAATGATGAACAAAATTCCATATAATGTATTCCGTTGTGTTATGTGTGCTCATGGATGTTGGGATGCAATCTATGTTAATGATTCGTCAAGTTTTATCTTGAAAGAATCAATCTTCGTGGCACAACCGACATGAGATGGTAAGGAATTCTAGGCAGTGCACACTCTGACGGCGAAGGTATGACGTCGACAGTCCAGTCGAGATTTTGGGAGTAATAACTCGAACGGATGTCCCCGTAGATCAGCGTTTGACGACAACGTCAAAAGCGGGCGACAAGGGTGGCCTGGGTTGTGTAATATTTGGTTCACTAAAATCAAATCTCCTCGAATCCGACGATACTACGCAGAGTATAGACCCAATGACTGCAGTCTTTCCATGTATGAATCACAATAGAGTCCTGTGACTATCTTCGTGACGAGCCTTTGTGGACGCTCCAAAATCTTATCTTCACGATGGATTCCAGGTTTGGATGGCATACTCAATATGCGACCGGATGTATGCTGACAGCAGACGTGGGAATAAACATGAACTGTCGAACAGGGTGATATCTTCTCTTTCACACTCCCGTTTTCAAACGTTTTATCAGTGTACCAGCTTGTGTGGACATCATGGTCCTTATTGCTTTGAGATCGTGATAAAATCAGCGTCGATCATAATGGTGGTGTTGATGAAGATTATTGTAGTGATAATAATTATTAGTTTAACAAGATGTTGACGAACGTGCACCCCTTAGATTGTGATTGGGAACTGTTATTAGTCATTAACTGGCCTGTTTTTTTTATCGGCATCTAGCTCTAGCAGGTAACTGCCGGTTTTCCGAAAGGTTTCAAGTATATCATATCCGGGTAAACCAACATTGTACAGTGAATTTTCAGCTGCAAAACTGAGGAAAAAGGCAAGCTGATTGAGAAACCTCAGAATATTGTTAAGTTGAGTAGCATCGACGTCATTAGAACACATACTGTAGTGTGCGGGTGTCTTACACAACCCAACGGCCTGAAAGTGATAATTTCATCAGTGCGAAACCCTTTCAGGATGCTTTCTTAACAAAATAGATACTTTTATGTTCATATCCGTCGTACGGCTCTTCCCTATTCAACTATCTTACCACTGTGTGATTGACTCAAATCAGTTACCATCCAACATTGATGTTTATTCCTTTTTAGTCCATATCGATTCTGTTATAGATTTGAGCAAATCCTTCTATTCCTTTTATGTTTCAGTGTTAGTCAGGTTCTTCGAGGCATCCATGACATTTTTAAGGGTGATATCCACGTACTGACCAAGGACGACTGGGTTCTCACAGATATAGAACTCCTTCAGGCGGTAATCACACCGGCGATGCGCATTGCACTCAAATTGTACCAGGTAGGTCACGATTGATTTTTGTGTTCTGCTCGATTTTCATTGATTATTCACTTCAATACTATCACTTATGCACAAAGATGATCATAGAACGGGAGGATTTTCGCACAGCCGAGGTAAATCTAAACGGAGAGAAAAAATCACGAAGAAAAAGAATGTTTTTTCCTTTCATTTAGTTTACCGTACTCTGTTTGTTTCTTTTTGTTCACACTTGTAGGACAATTTCCTCTGGGCTTCCGAAATGACTCACGCCGGGTTGCATTCGAAAATCATCTACACAGAAAAAAACTTTGTCATTTGTCACGAGACCGATCCGCAGTGGCGTTTTGCCGTGTTAAACGATGCTCACAATCTGTTCTCCATCCGATTGATGGGTATAGATACGGATAATGTGTACCGATTCGTTCAACTGACCAAAGGCAAACTGAATTTTTCCGCCGTCAAAGTAAGAAACCAGTTTTCTCATTGTTCAAACAAACGACATCATTATTCATCGTTCAAGTTGTCCTTCCTATCCGTAGCGAAGTCAATATCACAAGTATCCACAGTGGTCATAAAAATTCATGTCCTAAATCCCACAGTTTTTTCGCGGGTGCACGGGTTTTCTGTTGAGATAGAAAATCAAAACACAGCATAACGGTTTTTCCTGTGCACTACGTCGCTCACTGGTTTCATGTTAACTTTCTTTAGTCTTGCGAGTAACTAGAGGAGACTGTTTTAGTTAGTGGAGTGTAAAACGTATTTGGTGCTGCGTTTTGTGTTCAACAAAATTACCTCAGTTACCAGGAAACGTTTGATGAACGGCTTCGGCATGTGAACAAAAAGATAACGCAAGCATAACCACGATCCTATTAAGATCAAAGTTTGTTTACTTTAATGTGTTTTATCGACTATTCTGCTTTGTACAGTCGAATGTATCACGGGTAGGAAAATGTCTATTCTGTGCACTGGAAGGCTTCAGTAGTATTTCCTTACTGCTCTTGGGTGTACATAGTTCATAGGCGCAATCATTCAAGCGTAATGTTTATTTCTATTTTTCTAATACATCTCTGTGAAATCCGCTTAAAGTATAGTCGTAGAATGTGCACGTTATATTTAGCATTTACGAATTACAGAGTAGCTCATAGTAGTACAACGTTCTTGAGCGACCACGTGTCCCGGTGGTAACGTCACTAAATTACCACCCCGGGGTTGTGTATTGTATTGTGTGTTCAAATCCCACCAACACTGCCTAACTTTTCCCATTGTGTGTTGAATGGCAGCCCTTGGATTGGCCGCTTCCCACCTGCTGAAATTTGCATCTTTGTCTGTTCAATTAAAGAAAGTGAAATGAAAAGAATAAAAAGGAAGTCCCGCTGGACGTTCGATCGTGAATGCCTTTTGTGTCAGTGAACGATGAGATTGACCACTATAGTAATTTGAGTCAAGCTTAATTTACTGTGTTATCCCGTACAGATGTGTATTGAACCAGTTTTCAGTTTCAGATTTTACAATCATTAACCATGCACTTTCGTGTGCCGGTTTTGGTTGCTGTCCGTGTATTGAACCGTACATAGGTCTATCCTTTTTCGCATTCGGTATAACGCCCACTAGCATTTTAGCCAAGTTCATTGGGGAAAGCTTTCATTATCTTTACGTAGTCATAGTCTGTTCATGCTTGGCCTTCCATCCTGCAACGAGTAAACCTTTGATTTACCATACCTAATACAATACTCAGCCTCCGCAGTCTGTGAAGAACTAGGGTTTGGATGATTATACGATCGCAGTTAACGAATACTCTTCGTCTGCTATCCACATCACTTGTCCGGATTTCCCGCTCTACTCATGTACAAAGTGGCACTATACTCATTTGAACACCATGACTTTGTCCCGGTGCCACACAGCAGAACTGTACAAAGTGCAGCCTCAGATATGGGAGCCGTCATCGACAGCCGGATGTCGCTGCCGTATCACAGATGTCTTTATTTGGCATAATCCAAATGAACCTTTTGAATGCTTACCGATGTTTCGTCTTGGATTATTTGGCTAGGAGAGGCGTAGCCTTCCCAAGAAATAAAACATTTTAACCGCCTTCAGTGCCTCCTTGTTATTTTCATGGCACGAAAAAAATATTGCACTACATTCCAAGCTACTGAAATGAAAAAACGATATTTTATTTTTATTCCAGTTAGTGAATGCGATAAAAGGGGTTA